CAATAGGTCATCTCAGAATGCACTCAAGGTCACCAGGTCATTTCAATATACACTAGACGTTACCAGATCATCTAAGTATTCACTAGAGGTCACCAGGTCATCTCAGAATGCACTCGAGGTCACCAGGTCATTTCAGTATACACTAAAGGTCACCAGATCATCTAGGTATGCAGTAGAAGTCACCAGGTCGTCTCAGTATGCACAAGAGGTTACCAGGTCATCTAAGTACTCACTAGAGGTCACCAGGTCATCTCAGAATGCACACAAGGTCACCAGGTCATTTCAATATACACTAGAGGCTACCAGGTCATCTAAGTATTCACTAGAGGTCACCAGGTCATTTCAGTATACACTAAAGGACACCAGATCATCTAGGTATGCACTCAAAGTCACCAGGTCGTCTCAGTATGCACAAGAGGTTACCAGGTCATCTAAGTATTCACTAGAGGTCACTAGGTCATCTCAGAATGCACTCAAGATCACCAGTTCATTTCAGTATACACTAGAGGTTACCAGGTCATCTAAGTATTCACTAGAGGTCACCAGGTCATCTCAGAATGCACTCAAGGTCACCAGGTCATTTCAGTATACCCGAAAGGTCACCAGGTCGTCTCAGTATAGCCTTTCCTGTTACTGTGAGGACAGCTCTTCATGTTGTGGTACACGGAGTGATGATGAGAGCCATACAGAAATGCTGGAGAATATTGGGGTCAGTTTTATTGGTACTTCTCTGATGGCTGTTGTCTTCCAGTTCCATGTACCGGATGATATGGCACTTTAACTCGATTGGTAGAATGGTTGACAGAGAAGATTGAGGTTACAGGTTAAATTCCTGGTAAAAGTACAGTAAACTTTGTTTCCTTTCCTTACTGTTTTATTGGTGAACATTTTAATACCCTTGTTTATGCGCCCAATCATATCATTTTCTAACAAGATTTGCTTCACAAGTTCACAAGTCATTTCTGGTCTGTATTTGGTATTAGGGCATGTCATTGAGTATTTAAACTCATCAGTGACCTCCTTTTCAGTTCCCTAAGATTTCTGTACTGATGGTCTCTGTGGAGGTGGTATTGACAACTTCTGCTGATTTATTAAACAATGAGTCTTTACATGCATGGGAACAGAGCATTCATATCTCACGGACATCTTCTCGTTAAAATATGAATGCCATATGTCTTGGATATTTCAGTTCAGTAGCAGTGTTTTCACGTGGAAAAATACATACCGTGTAAGGGTGTAGAAGTATTTTGTAGTTGTCATGGTGTTTTCTCTAATTACAAGTACTATTAAATATAAATACAAGTAGAAAATGTCTGTTCCTCTTGTTTTAGATGTGACAGGGTCAGATTATATATGATTACTGAGTTCTAGGACTTTTAGAGGCCACCAGGTAGAGTTGTAGTATAGAGAAAACAAAAACAAAAACAACAAAACAAAAAAAAAAACAAGAAAATACCAACATGTCAACATAATCATAATCCAAACTTATATTCAATAAAACTAGGGCAAAATATGAACAGAAGAAAGATTCACATGGAGACTTCTGAAAAAGTACAAAGATAATAAGACCAGGTGTTCTGGAAGAGTAAGTGTCCTCCGCTTCATTGAAGACACCCATCATGTAAATCCAAGTAATATATCTTCTCAAATGAGAATGTGGTTTACAGCAATGGAACCAACAGGCAAACTAATGAGTATCATGCAAACGCAGGCAGCTTGATATCGAACAAAGAAATATGAGTCAGTATGGAGGAAGACAAGGGACTTTCAGGATATCTCTGAGGTCACAGAGATGAGAGAAAGTTGATGGAGATAATGATGTGACATGGTGATTTCCCCGGGATACAATAATGGAGAAACTAATGTGAAACATGCAGCACTACTGGTGTTATCTGTATCAGAAATCAGTCATGCTCGGTGGCTTTATGGCTAAATGAATGATGATACTCTCTCATAAAACAGCGATAACTTGTAGTAGTCCCGTTACACTAGCAAATGTATGTATACTTCACATAGCAGTCACTAGTGAGACCCACAGACTGACTGAACACATAATGTACTTGGTGCCTTCTATACCAATATCACATATTTACTTCATTTACAAAAGAATAAGGCATGGTAATAATTCCCTAATCTTTTATATTGTCGCCTTCATTTACCTGAATTCACAGGCTGATAGTAGCTTAATTTTGCAATTCCTTCATAATCTTCAAAGTCGGACACAGCACATTTGTGTTTCAATACCGTCAGATCTTACCTGTCTGTGTGGAGTTATTTGGCCCAATAAGGTCACCATTTTGTTGTGTAGTGTTTTTCCCTATATTATTGACCTTTCCTGTCTCTGTGGAGTTATTCGGCCCAGTAAGGTCACCATTTTCTTGTGTAGTGTTTTCTCTATATCATTGACCTTTCCTCTCTGTGGAGTTATTTGGCTCAGTAAGGTCACCATTTTGTTGTGTAGTGTTTTTTCCCTATATATGTGACCTTTCCTGTCTCTGTGGAGTTATTTGGCCCAGTAAGTTCACCATTTTGTTGTGTAGTGTTTTTTCCCTATATACCTGACCTTTCTTGTCTCTGTGGAGTTATTTGGCCCAGTAAGGTCACCATTTTGTTGTGTAGTGTTTTTCCCTATATTATTGACCTTTCCTGTCTCTGTGGAGTTATTCAGCCCAGTAAGGTCACCATTTTGTTGTGTAGTGTTTTTCCCTATATTATTGACCTTTCCTGTCTCTGTGGAGTTATTCGTCCCAGTAAGGTCACCATTTTGTTGTGTAGTGTTTTTCCCTATATTATTGACCTTTCCTGTCTCTGTGGAGTTATTCGTCCCAGAAAGGTCACCATTTTGTTGTGTAGTGTTTTTCCCTATATCATTGACCTTTCTTGTCTCTGTGGAGTTATTCGTCCCAGTAAGGTCACCATTTTCTGGTGTAGTGTTTTTTCCCCATATCACTGACCTTTCCTCTCTGTGGAGTTATTCAGCCCAGTAATGTGCCAGACTTAAGTAATTGATGAGTCAGTACCTCATTTTATCAATCCTTCCTGCCATCTTAACTAATTAGCTGTGGAGAATGGTTTTTGTTACTTACAGCCTCATTGGTGTACCTAGCTGCTGTTCTTATATTATGTATTACCAAAATACATTAGTGTATAAAACCCCATGATCAGACCTGTAGTGTTGTAATCATCATCCTCATGATATCATATTTCTTGGAAACTTCTCAACAGATAAGGTCCATAGAAAAGAAGTTTCTATAACACAACCAGTAAAACGTTTAAGTGTGATGTGCTGATGATCGTTTATGTAGTCGCCTTCATCAGACAAATGACCAGTGGGAAATGTACTAACACTGATGTACGTATTGTACGTGATGACCTGGTATGGAATCAAATATTGATATAACCGACCTAGAAAAAATGTTCCAAAGATAAAAAAAGGTTTAGCAAGTTTAACACCTTCTCTTATCAACGCAGGCATTGGTCGAGATTAAAAGGTCAAAAGTCATGTTTGAAAACTTGTGTAAATTAATTGAAAAATGATACTTATACATTAGAAAGGATAAATTTAGTATTTAGAATTTAACAGTGAGTTTGTTTTAGTTTCCAGTAATTCTGTTAAGCCTTTACCAGCTCTTTTCCCATAGCGGGACTCTCAAATTACGTAATCATATAAGCATTGTGAGTTGTGAGGCTTATTGTGATCATCAGGGGTATTGAAGATTGAAAGTGTTGCTGAGGTAATCATAAGTTGGATGTGAACTTTGAAGAAATTTTTTCTCTCCTGGTCTGTTTTTATTGACTAAGAAAAACCTATGAGCTGAAAAGGCTTCTCTAAATTATATTATTTTGCTTCAGGCTTTACTGCAAGAAATTGTCTTGTTTCAGGCTTTACCATGCACTTCATGTTGTCTAAGGCTTTACTCTGTACATCATGTTGTTTAAAGCTTTACTATGTACATCATGTTGTTTAAAGCTTTACTATGTACATCATGTTGTTTAAAGCTTTACTATGTACATCATGTTGTTTAAAGCTTTACTATGTACATCATGTTGTTTAAGGCTTTGATAGCTACAGTAAATTGTGATAAATTCTGTTGTTGCAAAATTTACTACAGTGAATTCTGTTGTTGCAAACTTTACTACAGTGAATTCTGTTGTTACAAACTTTACTACAGTGAATTCTGTTGTTGCAAACTTTACTACAGTGAATTCTGTTGTTGCAAACTTTACTACAGTGAATTCTGTTGTTGCAAACTTTACTACAGTGAATTCTGTTGTTGCAAACTTTACTACAGTGAATTCTGTTGTTGCAAACTTTACTACAGTGAATTCTGTTGTTGCAAACTTTACTACAGTGAATTCTGTTTTTGCAAACTTTACTACAGTGAATTCTGTTGTTGCAAACTTTACTACAGTGAATTCTGTTGTTGCAAACTTTACTACAGTGAATTCTGTTGTTGCAAACTTTACTACAGTGAATTCTGTTGTTGCAAACTTTACTACAGTGAATTCTGTTGTTACAAAATTTACTACAGTGAATTCTGTTGTTGCAAACTTTACTACAGTGAATTCTGTTGTTGCAAACTTTACTACAGTGAATTCTGTTGTTACAAACTTTACTACAGTGAATTCTGTTGTTACAAACTTTACTACAGTGAATTCTGTTGTTACAAACTTTACTACAGTGAATTCTGTTGTTGCAAACTTTACTACAGTGAATTCTGTTGTTACAAACTTTACTACAGTGAATTCTGTTGTTGCAAACTTTACTACAGTGAATTCTGTTGTTGCAAAATTTACTACAGTGAATTCTGTTGTTGCAAACTTTACTACAGTGAATTCTGTTGTTGCAAACTTTACTACAGTGAATTCTGTTGTTGCAAACTTTACTACAGTAAATAATGTTGTTACAAACTTTACTACCGTAAATTCTGTTGTTGCAAACTTTACTACAGTAAATAATGTTGTTGCAGTCTTAACTGCTATGAATTGTGTTGTTTCAGGCTTTACTACAAGCCCATGACGTGGTGGCTCATGAGGTGTACGGAGAAGATGCCGTCCGAGTCACACCCCCACCAATGCAGCCTTACCTTAATGGGGACAGCCAGCCTGACAGTCCAGATACAGACGTGGAGCCCCCCAATGTCACACGGGTCCGCCTTGTACAGTTCCAGAAAAACACTGAAGAACCTATGGTAGGTTAATCACTACAATCATTGTCTTGGTCTAGGATTCATTGGTGTAAATATATTTTACCGAGGTGAAAATTTCTTGTACCCAGGTGTAAATATCTTGTATCCAGGTGTAACTATCTTGTACCCAGGTGTAAATATCTTGTATCCAGGTGTAAGTATCTAGTACCCAGGTGTAAATATCTTGTACCCAGGTGTAAATATCTAGTACCCAGGTGTAAATATCTTATATCCAGGTGTAAATATCTTGTACCCAGGTGTAAATATCCTGTATCCAGGTGTAAATATCTAGTACCCAGGTGTAAATATCTAAGATCCAATGGTGTAAATATCTTGTACCCAGGTGTAAATATCTTGTATCCAGGTGTAAATATCTAGTGCCCAGGTGTAAATATCTAGTACCCAGGTGTAAATATCTTGTACCCAGGTGTAAATATCTTGTATCCAGGTGTAAATATTTGGTACCCAGGTGTAAATATATTGTATACAGGTGTAAATATCTTGTACCCAGGTGTAAATATCTTGTACTCAGGTGTTAATATATTGTACCCAGGTGTTAATATCTAGAATACATGTGTAAATATGTAGGATCCAGGTGTTAATATCTTGTATCCAGGTGTTAATATCTTGTACCCAGGTGTAAATATCTTGTACTCAGGTGTTAATATCTAGTACCCAGGTGTTAATATCTAGGATCCAGGTGTTAATATCTTGTACTCAGGTGTAAATATCTTGTACCCAGGTGTAAATATCTTGTACTCAGGTGTTAATATATTGTACCCAGGTGTTAATATCTAGAATACATGTGTAAATATGTAGGATCCAGGTGTTAATATCTTGTATCCAGGTGTTAATATCTTGTACCCATGTGTAAATATCTTGTACTCAGGTGTTAATATCTTGTACCCAGGTGTAAATATCTTGTACTCAGGTGTTAATATCTAGTACCCAGGTGTTAATATCTAGGATCCAGGTGTTAATATCTTGTACTCAGGTGTAAATATCTTGTACCCAGGTGTTAATATGTGGGATCCAGATGTAAATATCGAGGATCCAGGTTCTAAGACCCAGTTGAGTAATGCATAATATCAACTCATAAACTGCAGTACTACTTTATCAGAATTTTGTTGAAATGACTTTTAATGGGATTTCAATCCTAATAGCTAAATCTTTTTAATTTTCATAAATAGAATCCATATTTCAGTCACTATTGACAGGATTCTCTTAAAATACTTTAATATGAAATTTAATCCCACAAAACATATTTAGTCAATTGAAAAAGTTAGTGGCTTAACGTAATGGATTTTCAACAGTTCTGACATTTTGAGAGTGCACCTTCTTTGGTTGATGATCTAGTTTTCAGTTTCGAATTTAGCCTGATGCAAAAAGAAAGGTAGGACTTGAAAGGCGCACAAGTGCATGTGATTTTCACAATATACATACTGGTCGATTTGCTATGGTGAAATAACATAAACCGTCTACACTGAAGTAGAGATAATGCTGCTTTATGTACTTTTTATGATTGAACAGCCCGTCAACATAGCAAAGGTCGTTTAGAGTGGTTAAAAAGTAGGCAGCAATATGGTTACCGACAAATGAAGATCATTTCAGAAAAGACAGTTCCAATAAGAGAAATATATAACATCTGGGTAAGGTCCCAAGAGGCTTGGCATTCTTACAGGAGGACGTAGTTAAAAGGGATTCAATATATCACAGTCTGTCAATATTTGACATAAAGTTTAAATAGAAGTAGTGAAAGAAGACATTTCTGTTCATTGTGGACTCAAGTATTGCCTTTTTATGAATATTTATTGAAATTGTCTTAACAGCTAAATATTTAAGGGGACTGTTTTACCGGTGGAATATCTATAGAGACTTTTTGACCTGAAGAATATTTATGGGGAGTATTTACCAGCTGCATATTTATAGGGACTATTTAACAATTTGAATATTTATAGGGACTGTTTAACAATTTGAATATTTATGGAGACTATTTAACAATTTGAATATTTATAGGGACTGTTTTACAATTTGAATATTTATTGGGACTATTTAACAATTTGAATATTTATAGGGACTGTTTAACAATTTGAATATTTATAGGGACTGTTTAACAATTTGAATATTTATGGAGACTATTTAACAATTTGAATATTTATAGGGACTATTTAACAATTTGAATATTTATAGGGACTATTTAACAATTTGAATATTTATGGGGACTATTTAACAATTTGAATATTTATAGGGACTGTTTAACAATTTGAATATTTATAGGGACTGTTTAACAATTTGAATATTTATGGAGACTATTTAACAATTTGAATATTTATAGGGACTGTTTAACAATTTGAATATTTATGGAGACTATTTAACAATTTGAATATTTATAGGGACTGTTTAACAATTTGAATATTTATAGGGACTATTTAACAATTTGAATATTTATAGGGACTGTTTAACAATTTGAATATTTATGGAGACTATTTAACAATTTGAATATTTATAGGGACTGTTTAACAATTTGAATATTTATAGGGACTATTTAACAATTTGAATATTTATAGGGACTGTTTAACAATTTGAATATTTATGGAGACTATTTAACAATTTGAATATTTATAGGGACTGTTTAACAATTTGAATATTTATGGAGACTATTTAACAATTTGAATATTTATAGGGACTGTTTAACAATTTGAATATTTATGGAGACTATTTAACAATTTGAATATTTATAGGGACTATTTAACAATTTGAATATTTATAGGGACTGTTTAACAATTTGAATATTTATAGGGACTGTTTAACAATTTGAATATTTATGGAGACTATTTAACAATTTGAATATTTATAGGGACTGTTTAACAATTTGAATATTTATGGAGACTATTTAACAATTTGAATATTTATAGGGACTGTTTAACAATTTGAATATTTATAGGGACTATTTAACAATTTGAATAGTTATAGGGACTGTTTAACAATTTGAATATTTATGGAGACTATTTAACAATTTGAATATTTATAGGGACTGTTTAACAATTTGAATATTTATAGGGACTATTTAACAATTTGAATATTTATAGGGACTGTTTAACAATTTGAATATTTATGGAGACTATTTAACAATTTGAATATTTATAGGGACTGTTTAACAATTTGAATATTTATGGAGACTATTTAACAATTTGAATATTTATAGGGACTGTTTAACAATTTGAATATTTATGGAGACTATTTAACAATTTGAATATTTATAGGGACTGTTTTACAATTTGAATATTTATGGGGACTGTTTTATAATTTGAATATTTATGGGGACTGTTTTATAATTTGAATATTTATGGAGACTGTTTTACAATTTGAATATTTATGGGGACTGTTTTATGATTTGAATATTTATGGGGACTGTTTTACCAGTGGAATATCTATAGAGACTTTTTGACCTGAAGAATATTTATGGGGACTGTTTTATAATTTGAATAGTTATAGGGACTGTTTAACAATTTGAATATTTATGAGGACTGTTTAACAATTTGAATATTTATGGGGACTGTTTTACAATTTGAATATTTATGGGGACTGTTTTACAATTTGAATATTTATGGGGACTATTCAACAATTTGAATATTTATAGGGACTGTTTTATAATTTGAATATTTATGGGGACTGTTTTACAATTTGAATATTTATGGAGACTGTTTTACAATTTGAATATTTATGGGGACTATTCAATAGTTTGAATATTTATAGGGACTGTTTTATAATTTGAATATTTATGGGGACTGTTTTACAATTTGAATATTTATGGAGACTGTTTTACAATTTGAATATTTATGGAGACTGTTTTACAATTTGAATATTTATGGGGACTGTTTTACCAGTGGAATATCTATAGAGACTTTTTGACCTGAAGAATATTTATGGGGAGTGTTTACCAGTTTGAATATTTATAGGGAGTTTTTTACTGTTTGAATATTTATTGCGACTCTTTCACTATTTGAACATTAATGGGGACTGTTATCTGCAGGCGGAAACAATTTGGAATGATAGATAAGGGGTGCTTACTGTGATATATATGTTTGTACAAAGCTTAAGTTTTAAGGTTTTTTTCCAAAACTAGTTATATTGTAGACACTTAATTTCAGAGTAATTAGAAAATCCACTGATAAAACAGTCCTGATATTTAATCATTTGTGAACATGCAGGTTTGTTGATAAACGGTACCAACAAAATCAACACCGTGGACATCAATGACTTTACAGTGTTTAGATTGATTACTTTTTTATGAGATGTAAGATATGCAATTTGATTTCAGATGAGGTTTAACATCTTTGGTTCTATTCATAACTTCGTCGAGAACACACAAGATATATATCCATGTACAAAGTCTGTTCAATGTGTCTTTTATTTAGATTAGGGTTGATCCAGATGTGTCAGATTGAAGATTTAGCTTTCATTAACCATAGTTCATAAAATAAGGAGTCAGAATGGAAATCCCTGAGTATTCCTGCCATTTTCATGATAAAACTGTCTTTGCATTAAAATGGAATATTAAGATAATAGGTGATATGCGGTACTGTCTGAACCTGACATCTGGTGATATGCCCACCCATGTTTATTGCAGTTCTGCAGGTATTTTAACAAATGCTTCTTCACTGTCTTGTCATACTACCAACAAATGTAATTACATTACCTCCTATACACCCAACAAATGTAATTACATCATCATGCAATAAGCCCACCCATACTACCAACAAATGTAATTACATTACCTCCCATACACCCAACAAATGTAATTACATTATCCTGAAATAAGTCCACCCATACTACCAACAAATGTTACGTTAATTTTGTTGAAATTTTTCAAGATTTTGCTTTCTTGTTGAAAAGTCATCAGTTGAATTTGTACTCAGGGGTGCTTTATATTGTAAATATTATTGAACAGGGGATCACGCTGAAGCTGAATGACCAGGGACAGTGTCTTGTAGCGCGGATCATGCACGGCGGAATGATCCACCGACAGGGTAAGTATTATGACAGTAGCGCAAGTATCTTCCATCTCAGTCGTAGTCTAACTGGTGTCAGATCATTAATTTACATGAAAGTTTTACTCTCATTGATTTTGTGGATTCTCTTCTCCACAAATTCAGAAAGTAATTAGAGATATTGACAGGTATTAGCAGAACTTGTGAGCAATATTTCTCAACGTATTGAAACGTCAGCGATAATGCATTTTATTGAAAAGGCACACATTTTTCTCCCTTTGATTTGATATTACAGTAATGTAGATATAGAAGGTGATATTTGATAGACCATTGATTCTATTTCGGGCTGTCCGGCGGACTAGAGCAAGCAGACATGTGATATTATCAGAAAATGTAACGGTGTAAATCATCTTGTAACGTGTTATGTATATATAACAGGGTTACTTGTACCTCAGGGCATTCTCTCCACTTCTTATTGACGCCAAAGCCAAACTGTACATGAAAAACTCGGTCTCCTGGACAATATCCATCAAGAAAATCACATCCGTGGTCCCAATACCATTGTACCATTATGAACAGCTGTGAAATGTTTTGTACCATTAGGGATTTAGTAGTTGTAGCATATTCTGTTTTTTTGTATCCTCTTCAAGAATTTATTATGGTACATGAAACACTGCACAAACATTTTGTTGTAATAAATCCAAAAGAGTTCTAGGATTTTCACAAAACTTTGAATGAGTGATAATGGATAATAGTCAGAATTTTTGCCATAAATCCAAATTTTATTTATTTGATTGTCGATGTACAGTTGGAGGTCTTAAGGACATTTTTGTTATTTTCCATTCATTAGCCTGTATATGTCATTTAAATGATGGAATGGACAACCCATACAAAATCATCCTAGTGAAACATGAGATATATAAACACCCATTGTATATCCTAGATAATTACCTTGATATGTAGATTTCTCCTTTTCCAGGTACGCTACATGTTGGGGATGAGATCCGGGAAATCAACAATGTCAGTGTTGTCAACAAAACTGTCGAGGTTTTACAGAGAATGTTGGTAAGGACCTGTAGGGCTTTGTGTTCTATGATGAAACCATAGAACTGTCTCATCACATTGTGTTCTACGATGAAACCATAGAACTGTCTCATGATATTGTGTCCTTTGATGAAACCATAGAACTGTCTCATCACATTGTGTTCTGTGATGAATTCATAGAACTGTCTCATCACATTGTGTTCTCAGATGAAACCATAGAACTGTCTCATCATATTGTGTACTCAGATGAAACCATAGAACTGTCTCACCACATTGTGTTCTATGGTAAAACCATAGAAGTGTCTCATTACATTGTGTTCTATGATGAAACCATAGAACTGTCTCATTATATTGTGTTCTGAGATGAAACCATAGAACTGTCTCATCACATTGTGTTCTATAATGAAACCATAAAACTGTCTCATTAAAATGTGTTCTATGGTAAAACCAAAGAACTTAAACTGTTACATTGTGTTCAATATGGAAAGTCATCAGCATGACATCGTCTTGTTCTATAGTTGAATATGGTTCTGTGTGTGTTATCACACTGTGTTCTTTGTGTGTTATCACACAGTGTTCTGTGTGTATCACACCGTGTTCTGTGTGTGTTATCACACCGTGTTCTGTGTGTATCACACCGTGTTCTGTGTGTGTTATCACACCGTGTTCTGTGTGTGGTATCACACAGTGTTCTGTGTGTGTTATCACACCATGTTCTCTGTGTGTTATCACACAGTGTTCTGTGTGTTATCACACCGTGTTCTGTGTGTGTTATCACACTGTGTTCTGTGTGTATCACACTGTGTGTTATCACACTGTGTTCTGTGTGTGTTATCACACCATGTTCTGTGTGTTATCACACCGTGTTCTGTGTGTGTTATAACACCGTGTTCTGTGTGTGTTATCACACCGTCTTCTCTGTGTGTTATCACACCGTGTTCTCTGTGTGTTATCACACCGTGTTCTGTGTGTTCTGTGTGTGTTATCACACCGTGTTCTGTATGTGTTATCACACCATGTTCTGTGTGTGGTATCACACTGTGTTCTGTGTGTGTTATCATGCTGTGTTCTGTGTGTGTTATCACACTGTGACTGCTGATGTGTATCAATGACATTAACGGTTTGTGTTCAGTGGTAAAACCATAGAAATTGTTCAGTTATAATATTGTGTCATCACACATTTCACAAATTGAGATCTTGAATTTCTCCATTGATTTAATCCAAAGAAGGTGTCCTTTTATTAAAAAGATATTATTGTCGACTGTGTTTAGTGGGGTAAACCATTACAGGTATTCAACCGTTGACTATCCCATTGTTTTCACTAAATCAACTCTCATTATATTAAAAAGCTTACTGGCAAACATCACTCTTCATTTGAAATATAGTTTTTCACAGCGTTTTATACTGGTAACACTTTCAAGCTTGGGAACCATAACACCTCAATCTCTCAGAGCGTGGGCTAACTAACCTCAGGTGCAGATCTGAGGTGGGTGGTTTGACACTCCCAAACTGTTGTATTTCTCAAAAAAACTGATCAGAGAAACAGACTGATCAGCTGTGCTGACTTGGCTGTGTGTCCTTAGGGAATACACTTAACTCTTATTGCTCAGGACAGCCTTTGATGAGCCTCCAGTATGTTGTTCAATTGGGTAGCTACCAGCTACTATAAGGATACTCCACCCCAAAGTGACCCTGGCTGTTCGCAGGGTGATAAACCTAGCAAACAAACTTACACAAATGAAATCCATTTTATACCATGTTACATGTACAATATACATGTGTGAAAGCTTCAGAACAGTTAGTTTTAGGTAGATGGAAAAGAGCTTGTTTCATTTAGATAATCAGAAAAGAAATCTTTTAAAAATGCTTAAAACTTAAGATACTATTAAGAATGTCTAACCATATTATAGTTAGTTTTCAAAGTTCTGAAATGTATTAGAATTAAAAAAAAAGTCTAAATCTATTTTTGTCCCAACCTCTAAAACAAGATTGTTTGACATTTGATATTAGGTCAACATGACCGTATCAGAAGAAAATGACTATTGATTTAGGACTAACTGGATTAAAATAAGATTGCTGTTTGATTATGGGAGTGAGGGGAGGGGGGAGAGTTTTTTTGATATTCTTCAAATATGGTCAGATAACACTAGAAGAGATTCTATAACATGCCCAAAGAAGAAAAATCAATGCCATGTCTCCAGAACCGATCTGTAAGCTGGAGGTATTTGTTACATTTTTGTCTGTCTCATGTGATGATGTTGCTAATTATAACCAACAGAGGGAGCTGAGTGGATCGGTGACCTTTAAGGTCATACCGCAACCGTTACTAAGTATGTTTGGTGGCCATGGCGATATTAACAACCACAACGAGGTAGTGTATTCACACCCCATGGTAGACGTTTATTATCATTGTCGTCATGTCCACACCAGAACACACTTTATTTGTTTTTTTTTATATATATGTTTTTTTGTTTTTTTTTCACATCACTCTTTCCTGCTCTTAATCCATTTTCCTTTCCTTTCTTTCTCATGCTCTTCGTTCAATCTTTCCTCCATGCACATTTTTTCTTGCAGAAGGATGCTCGGGGGAGTGTTTCGCTGAAGATCGTCCCGAGCCACCGCCACAATCCCGCTCACTGTGAGGTTGGTTGCAAGCTTGACTAAACCATGTTCCGAAAATTCAGAATTTCTTGTGAAGTAAAGTCGTGCCAATGATTTTCAAAGGAAGTATTATACACTTTCAATGAAATCATCTTTTCTACATTTTAAAATAACAAGGCCAAAAGCATTGATCACAAATATATTTAGTTTTTTTTAAACTTATGTTTAATTTAAATATCTTTGTAAGTAGAATTTCCTTCATTTTCAAAATAGTTATATTTAAATATGTTTCGATTGAAAATATTATTCGGAAAATTGAATAAAATGATGTGAAATTCAAGATGGCCACTGTAAGTTTTTAATATTAAATCCCATAAACCTCTTATGTAAATAAAATCATTTTTTTTCGAAGAAAATTAAAACTGTTTTGCAAAAAAAATTTGGTAGTTTCAAAAAAAGAAACAGTCACAAAAAATGCTGAAATCGGAAAACTTCTGTTATAGATCACTTCCTGTATATCTCTGTCTCGTGTTTGTGAAAAAAAAGCACAATCGATAGTTAACAACAGGCTCACCCTGTAGTGGACTGGTGATGTATGTGTTTGTTTTAAAAGCATTAACTGCAGTTTGAGTGACTTCATTTCATAGTACTGGGCTGTTTTTGATCCACCAGGATCAAATAGTTGGACCATTTTGGCCTTAAAATTTTTGTACTAATGTAAAAACATCAGAATTTAAACCTGAAAAACTGACTTTTAACAATAAACGCACAAGTTTATCTCTATAAACAACAGGCCACACTTCTTATGTTTTTGAAGAAAGGGACCTAACTCTCCGTAAACATCGAAACAGCTCCAACAAAATACTATGAAAGACGGTTACTTCTAAATCCTTCACTGGTCAATACAGTAAATAATATTTGTGATGAATATTAACTCAATTTATCCGGCAATAAGCCCATGCCTGGTAATAAGCCCACCCCCTGTCTCTGAGCCGAAATTTCCATGTTTGGCCATCTTGGCATATGACATGATAAATTTAATATTTGTTGTGTGTTTAACAAAATTTAATGTGTTTGTAAATGTGTTCTTTTTTATGTTAAACCTCTCTGCTTTCCTACCTGTCCTTGTATTAATTACAATCTGTTTTCACCTAAAATCTGGTATTTGTGACAGTAGATTTTATTTCAGACTTAATAACTTTTCTTCTCATACTTTTAACTTGGCAATAACTGTCATACTGATTTGATTTTATCTTTTAAAAAAATTATTTTAATTTTAGTGCCAGCACTGATATATCTTTAAAAAAAAAAAAAAACATTAGAAAATCTTGGTTGAAATAATTTATATTTCATCATATTGAATTTTCCTTAAATATTTTGGAGCTATTTTCTATGACAAATACATCAAAAGCTCATAAAATTATACCCCTTTGATTTATTTGAATAAAAATATGATTACCGGTAGTTTACTGAAAAAAAAACAATTTCATTTCCACTGTTGATCAATTTTAATCCCTGAATACTTTTCGTCATATCCTGTTTCAAATTTACCAGTTGATGGCCCTAATGACCTTTGATGCGTTGACGGGCCCTTAAGAATGTAATAATGAAAATAAAAACTGTTTTGAATTTTAATTTGAAATAATTGATTATTCAAATGCTCACCGGTATTCATTCCAAAATTCCTTTCTCCATTGGTTATGATTTATAGTGTAATTTTACAAAATTGTTTGTAACAGAGTTTTATCTCCCATGTTTAAATTTTGGTTAAGTCAGGATGTGAATCTATATCTGTTTGTATCAGGAATATAACGGTGATAAGATTAGTGATAAGTAGTGGAGTGTGAAAACATGAAACTTAATATTAAAATGAAATTCTGGTGCTGGCAATGTTTGTAAAATGTCTCCGAAAAGTAGTCTGGTGTGAAAAATATAGAAACTTAATATTACAATTAGATTCCAGTGCTGAAAATGTTTGAAACATGTACTCCAAAAAGCAGTGGAGCATGAAAAATTTTAATTTAATATTACGATGAAATTCTGGTACTGGCGATGTTTGTAAAATGAACTCCAAAAAGTAGTTAAGTGTGAAAAACAGAGACTTAATATTACAATTCGATTCTGACAATGTTTTAAAAAAAAAATGTACTAGTCTAATTCAATAGAGATGCTTGACGACAATTTAACTTGAATAGTGCTCTGAACTACTAGGCGTTACAACTGTGTATATTGAATGCATTGGTCTTTTGGACCGCTAAATAAGCCAGAATAGGCTGTTGATATTCTGGTATGAATAATTGATACCTTTTTGTGTTACACAAGAAAGGTTTTAGTATTTCTTTTCATTTTAGTGTTAAATTTCTAAATAGATGCATGTTGGTTTTTGCATGAATTGAAATTTATCGTCTTTTTATGTAGATGGTGACAAAATTGAACATTGATGTGAATTTCTGAGCTCGGTATCTGCATTTAATTTAATTTTCTAAGGACCAGATCAGTTTATCAGAAAATCTTCTTGTTTTTTTCAAAACATGACTTCATGATGGTTTTCACTGTCCCTTTAATGATATTCTCATTGTAAGTGGTACAGAAGCATGGAGTTTAAATGAGCTAAGTAAAAGACATTGCTATTTCTTTAGATGCAGATATCTGAACAATGATAAAACCAGGTTTTAAAGATTTTTTCCCTATTTGTGCCAAATTAAATATGATCTTATCAAAGATTTGATATTTGTTTTTATAAACATTTTCCGAGGAATTGAAAGGTGAAGCATACAGAGAATGGCATATAGGAATTTCAACACTGATTGACCATAATTGATGAATTGCATTCAATTAAAGCATTCATTGTATAAAAAACTTCAAATGCTGGATGAAATATAGCCTGTAGTTTGCTTGAGTGAAAGGCTATCAATTTTTAGCTTATGAATTTCAATCAACCTCATTCAAATTCAGAGCATTCAAATGTGTTTAAACTTTCAACACTGACTTCTATGAATACCAACATCAGAAGTTGTCATATTTGTAGCTTCATTTATTTGAGGAAAAATTCATTTCATTTTCCCATTAGAAAAACTTAATAATTGAGTTCCTGAACTTAAAGTTCTGATTTCATATTAATAAGATCTTAGTCAGGTTAACTCTTTATTATAGCACTGTGGTTCAAGAGTTTACAACACCCAGATCTTATCTTTTATCATTTCTCAGTATTGATTAAAGAGTTTTTGGCATCATGCTCAATCATGGTGTGAGAAACTCTTTAATGAACACTATATGTTATTGATAATAGACTTGATGCAAGCATTTCAGAGAATGATTTTCATACCTTTATCGATAAAAGAGTTCCTAACACCACACTTTGTTCTTGACAGATTTATGTGCGGGCATTATTTGATTATTGTCCAGAAGATGATGACATCATTCCATGTCGACAGGCAGGTGTGCCGTTCAAGTGTGGAGACATCCTTCAGGTATAAAATCTTATTTGGTTAGTCATCCAGTGATAAGCCCTTGCCTCGTAATAAGCCCACCCATATATATTGTAGTTTCAGAAGAAATGTGGAATATTAGTCCTCACAACTTATTTTTGTAAACTTATCATTTATTTGACCTTTGACCTACAGGTGATAAATAAGGATGACTCCAACTGGTGGCAGGCACGGCGGGTAGGACTCCCGACGACTGAACCTGCGGGGCTCATCCCTTCCCCCGAACTTCAGGAGTGGCGGACTACATGTTCAGCTCGTGAGAAACGTCAGGACCATGCCGGTAAGGAAAAGAGTCTGTCCCGAATATAAAGGCACATATAAAAAAATTGCGTAAAAAAAGTTATTACAGAATATGTAAAAATGAAAATGAAATAAATTCAATGCAGATTACAGTTTGAATAGATAATAATGATAAATCATAGATTATTGTCTTTAAATAAGCCCACCAGCTCTGTAACTTTCAGAAAGTTTGACTAAATCATCACACCTTGTATCATGTAGTGCCAACAATTCGACAAACACAGACAGAATTGAATGAGAAGCTAAATGTTGACCACTGGAATTATTGATCAATAGATATGGTAAATATATTGCTATGTATTCTTTACAATGTCTTTTCTTTGTTACAGTTCACTGTTCATGGTTTGGCCGAAAGAAAAAAGATAAATATCTTGCCAAGCACAACGCCATTTTTGACCAACTAGATTTAGTTACATATGAAGAGGTTGTACAACTACCAGCATTTCTCAGGAAAACTTTGGTCCTCCTTGGTAAATATATATAGCATCTCGAACGAGTTTCTCTCTGTTTTAAAAATTTATGAAAAATATCTTTTTTCAATTTGACAAAGGCTTATTAAAATGAAAAAAATAGTAATGTTTCATTAATCACATATTAAAAGAGAACAGATTTAAGATTCTGTTTTGCATGATTTTTCAAGCAAATGTGACAGAAAATGGACATTTCTATGTCAGACTTGAAGTCAAATGTGCTCTTTATCTGTGCATGGTCTTCATTGTTACATTACTATGACATCCGTGAATGTGTGACATCATTTTATAGTCTAAAGTGACGACGCAATAAGCTTTATCATGCTTGTGTAAAACACAAAAATATGACGTGCATAAGTCAATATTACAAAATATTTCTTCATTTTTGTCAGTTATATGAATTCATAGCAACATACTCATAAAATAGGATTTTGTAGATGTTGTATTTATGAGTTGTTCCAAACTTCTCTTTTGTTTTATTTGTTTCATTCTGACACATCTAGCTTAAGTTTTGTTTTCAGTTGTTCTGAATATTGTCATCATGAATGAAAATAACCTAAAATAATATGTGCCAGGCTATATGAATATACATTACGGTATATTTTTTGGCATCTTTACAATATACAGTACATCTTAACACTTTGTCTAAATTCCTTAATCTTATCATGAAGTATTTACTGTCTGTAGTTGGGTATAGATGAGAACATTTATGAACTTTTGGATTGCGATATTGACCTCCTCTTTGCGTCTGTCAATATGTTAATCGTCAGGTTAATTAATATTCATATCCACCTCAGCAACACATGATAGTTACAAGTATGTATTAAGTAATTAGAAACATCGTAACTATGACACTATGAAATCTTTTGAGAAAATGTGAAGTTTGGTCTATATGTCTCTAGGTTCATATGTTCTTATTTGTTGCAGGTGCCCATGGGGTAGGACGGAGACACATCAAAAACACACTTATCACAAGCCACCCAGAGCGGTTCGCCTACCCCATTCCTCGTACGTATCTAACATGTTTATATCATCCTGTGTTAGACAAAGACTGAAAGTGATTTTAGGAAAAGTGAAAATTATAAACACCAAAATGTTAGACATAGGACATACCATCATATCTGTCCAGAAATCAGCCCATGTCTGCTGATAAGCCCACCCTCATGTATTGTAGCTGAGTATAAATGACATTTTCATCGACCTTTGATAAACCCAGCCTGGGCTTATCAAAGGATGCTTAGACTTATTATATCAGGTCTTTATCAGATTGAAGTTTGAATGTCCGGGGTTTTGTGTTTGAAAAGATGTAGGATCTAGATAGAAATACAAGATATATGACTAAATGATTGAATAGGATGATAGTGTTTTTGATACGAATGTCAGTGACCAAAGCAACCCTATGGAGTGTAGGAAACTCCAAAGGGTTGTTATGAACATATATTAGCTGAAGTGTAATGTTGTGAGTCAACAACAAACTTTTGTTTTCAGATACGACGCGGCCGCCAAGAGAAACAGAGACCAACGGTAAAAACTATTACTTCGTGTCTCACGAAAAAATGATGCAAGACATTGCAGCCAACCAATATTTAGAGTACGGAACACACGAGGAGGCGATGTACGGCACCAAACTAGAGACAATTCGCAGTATACATGATAAGGGCCTCATGGGGATTTTGGACGTAGAACCACAGGTACAATGACCTCCATTCTGAAGAAAAACTTTCTCGTTAAAATATTTTGTTTAAAGTATATTTCCAAAGATCCTAGAAATTATTTTTTACTACTGAGCAGGTATGGTCTATAGTCAATTGACATGACAATATCAGTTAAAATTGAAATAGGCTTTGTAGCATATCTCCTGAAGGAAATTTCTTTATAGTTCAGTACTTTACATGATGTTTAATGGATATTTAGATAAACTATGGATACTTGTACGGTACAGGTAGATTTCTCCTTTCCTGTAATTGTACCTATTTTTGTCTTTTTAACATTGAAAAATTATCATATTTTATGTACATTGTAACAATATGGTCTGTGTTCTCTCTCATGATGCAAACCATTTGAATTTCTGTGAGAATGGATATAAATGTAAAATTTAATATACTTTGCAATTTGCGGACATTTCTTGACTGACTTCAAATTGGAAAATTTCCACAATATTTGATAAAGGCAAAATGAAAAAATAATCTATGTTTCTCACACAATTTTTTTTTTTTTGAAATATTCAATACTATTTTATTAGATTTTGAAAGTAGTTGTTCAAGAACAAGTTTCCACACATTATTATGTTTATCTTTTTTGTATCAGTCAACACCACTATCAGAAATGTGCATTTTGCTCGGCCAACAAACATACTGATGAGGTTGTTTTCAGTGTTTCAGAATGCTTACATCAAAAGGATGGATTTATTTTTCCTTATCGATTTTATTTCGAAAGTATCAGATTTTTCATCTTTTTGTAACACCGTGATCTGCTCTCGTAAACAGATCTTGCTTGTTTCATCATTTGTTTGTGAAACTAAATTTATAAGAAAATGACGTCATTTTCTTATTCAAACTAATAAAGTAACAAGAGTTAACTGTTCACAAGAGCAGATAACTCTGTATTACGAAAAGACAGAAATTATGACTTTATCTCATCCGTGAGAAAGAGAAAAATGGAAAAAAAAACTCTCATAACAAGCTTTTTTTTAACAAGAACCGACTTGGTGGGAACAAACACTTACATGTATACACCAAGTCTGATATGTGACTCCATGTTACAGGCAATACGAGTACTTCGGACGGGAGATTTTGCTCCCTTTATAGTGTTTGTGGCAGCTCCGACAATCGCTGCTATACATGAGGTAACCCACTGGCATGCCTCTCCCTCCCTCAAAGAAAAGGTCGCCATGGTAACGACTAAGAGTCAGCCAATTTAAAGTACTTTTGTAAAATTTTCAAATACAAAAAAATACTTTCAATTTTTGAAATTTTATAAAGGAATAAATATTGAAAAAGAACAGCAGTTAAAAGTTGTTATGACATAAGAAGGTCATTTTTGAAACTTTGTAATGCTTGCAAAATCCAAGACGAGTTCACGTGTAATTATGACTGTATGTCATTATCATGGCGACCATTGTTGCACCTGTTTTGGACATGCCAAATATTATGACTGTCACGCTTATTGTGTTTTGTAACTGCCTTTGGTATCTGTTGGTGTTGAAACAGAACAATTTGTCCAAATTTTTGGCCCCACATCATTTAGGTATTGGAACTAAGGTCTTAATTTGGGACCCAGAGATCACATTGGTTCATTCATGAAAAATGGTGGAAATTAAACTGAAGAACCGAAACCTGAAAACATTTTGTTCTGTATGGAAGAAACCTTCTTGTTCCTTAGGTGTATCAGAGGGACAATGACTTGAAGGGCAAAGGTTAATTGAAAGCAAGTAAGCATTGCAATCTGCCCACTTAAAATTTTGAATAAAATGTGGAAGAACTTGCAACTTAGGGTGAAGTTCATGGTGTCAAAGGGATAATTGATATTTCAGTCTCTTAACTAGAAGTTATTGTTTAAAGTTGATTGGATTTAAGATTTGTCTGAACAAAGGTTATGGTCATGTGTCAAAGGTCATTAAAGTCTGTTTCATGACTTTTTTTTACATTTTTTCCCTCCAGTATCGACCAGTAGTTATCATTTATATAATGATGTTTTTGGGAATTTCAGTAAAACTTCAACCTGTAAGATATTTCTATTAATTTCCAAAACTGGGATGATGCACGTTTGTATGCTCCCCGAAGGGAGGACATATAGTCACTGCATTGTCCTTCATCTGTCGGTCATAATTTTGTCCAGAGCGAAAACTATAAGAGGTTTCAACATTAAACTTCACAGGTAGATTATATCTCAACAAGGAAAAGTGCAGTGCACATGAACCATCACTCTGTTTTGTGTAGTTAAGGAGTTATTGCCCTTTGTTATTTTTCATACTTAGATTTTGTCCGGAGCATTTCACTAAAACTATATGAGGTATCAACATGAAACGTCATGGGTGGATCTCAACAAGGAGAAGTGCAGTATACAAGAACCATAACTCTCTTTTGCATTCTTTAAGAGTTATTGCCCTTTATTTTTCATGCTTAAGTTTTACCTGGAGTTTTACACTAAAACTATAAAACGTAGGTTTCAATGACTTCGAGCGCAGTGCACAAGAATCATAACTCTTTGTTATTTTTCATACTTTTGTTCCAATTAGGAAGCATAACCTGTCTCTGGTGGCCCTATTAATTATTAATCCCTTCAGCCCTTGTAATGTCTGGTTTAATGACCAATAGATATCAGGGCAGTCTTCTCCATGCATGCAGCATGAACAGTCTAATAACATGTTTCAAACATGGGACCAAAGTCCTGTGTGACTGACCTCCTCTCCGAAACACTTTCATATTTTACTCATGCTATGTACTGTTTTCGTTTCTCTTTGTTATTTTAAGTAACAGCATGATTTTTGTTTCTTTTCGAATTGAATTTTCAGGCTTTGAAAATATTACGAACTGCCGAGTATGCCCCATATGTCGTTTTCATAGCTGCCCCCCGAGCATGTGACCTTCTACCCGCCAAATCGAAAGACATCAACGTAAGTGTGTAGGTTATAGTCAGTCAGAACTAGTGTGTAGTCTCTCTTAGATGGTGGTCATTCCCCAGTATCTTCCTCATGGTGGTCAAATGAAACCAAAATCATCTCCTTATGGTGGTCAAACTGAACCAAAATTATTTTCCCTGATGGTGGTCAAACTGAACCAAAATTATCTCCCTGATGGTGGTCAAATGAAACCAAAATTATCTCCTGATGGTGGTCAAACTGAACCAAAATTATCTCCTTATGGTGGTCAAACTAAACCAAAATTATCTCCCTGATGGTGGTCAAACTGAACAAAAATTATCTCCCCTGATGGTGGGCAAATAAAACCAAAATTATCTCCTGATGGTGGTCAAACTGAACCAAAATTATCTCCTTATGGTGATCAAACTGAACCAAAATTATCTCCCCTGATGGTGGGCAAATGAAACCAAAATTATCTCCCCTGATGGTGGTCAAATGAAACCAAAATTATCTCCTGATGGTAGTCAAACTGAACCAAAATTATCTCCCTGATGGTGGTCAAATGAAACCAAAATTATCTCCCTGATGGTGGTCACACTGAACCAAAATTATCTCCCTGATGGTGGTCAAACTGAACCAAAATTATCTCCCTGATGGTGGTCAAACATAAACAAAATTATCTCCCTGATGGTGGTCAACTGAACCAAAATTATCTCCCTGATGGTGGTCAAATGAAACCAAAATTATCTCCCTGATGGTGGTCAAACTGAACCAAAATTACCTCCCTGATGGTGGTCAAACGAAACCAAAATTATCTCCCTGATGGTGGTCAAACATAAACAAAATTATCTCCCTGATGGTGGTCAAACTGAACCAAAATTATCTCCCCTGACGGTGGTCAAATGAACCAAAATTACCTCCCTGATGGTGGTCAAATGAAACCAAAATTACCTCCCTGATGGTGGTCATTTGTCAGTGTCCCCCTGATGAACTTAAGACAAAATACCTATCTTAAGGTAAGTTAAAATGTTTCCTCTGTATGAGTTGGAATTTTAACATGTCTGTTACAGTAACTAATAAATAAGGCATGCAGTGTCAGTTCCCTATGTCCTCCCTCATCATCGTAAAAAATTATCAATACCTCATGTTGTTGTTCTTTTTTTATTCTGATGTTTTTCTTTGCAGACACATCACCTTTATTATTCTGTTCATGTAAATATTAACTGGACTAAGGATGTTTCTTTTGAAACTTCTAGAACCTAATATTTAAGAAAGTCACTTGCTTTATTCTCCAGAGTTATGTCCCTTTCTTCGGTTTACTTGAGAATACAGTCAAACTTGTCATATGTGGTCTTGGAAGGGAGGCAGTAATAGGGTCACATATGACAGGTAGTTTTTTTTATACAGGTTCAGTATACAGGGAAGAGTGGGGGAGGTGGAAACACTCAAATTAAATTCATATATTATGATAAATATTTCGTATATAAAATTTCTTTCGATTTAGTTCAACAGGAAATATTTTTCTCCTTCAAATTAAATTTTGAAAGTGTAAGTATTTGACACAAGGGTGTTCCTTGTGTCATTAATATCCCATAATTACTGCCTGAAGGGGTTCAGAGGAAGCCAGTCTAGCCTTGTAAGTTTAACCTCTTGCCCACAGTAAACGATAGATATCAAGTCACCTATTTGTGCCGACTGTAGTACACTAAAACCTTCACAGTCAGTGCCTTAACATAAGTAAGACTGATATTAAGGCCCAGACAACTGGAACAAGCAAAAGTAAGATAAGTGTATGTTATGGCTGTGGATTTTCTTTAACAGCCATTTTCTATCTCTTTGTTATGGCACCGTCCATTCTTTTGTGAATATTCCTTGATTCTGATAGAATCTGGTTTTTATTAGATCAAAACTTTCTACTGTTCAGCAAGTGACATGATTTTAAAAAACCATACAACATCCATTATTCTGCCATAAAGCTAGTTTGATATCTCATGTTTTGGCTGCAAGAGCATGATGCCAAAAATAGCCTGATCTTGATGCCATTGTCGTATTAACACTTTTGTAGTAATTTATTTGTGATATATGATATCTTAATTCAGATCAATACACTTACAGTATAACTAGTTAAGGTTTGATCGAGTTAAATTGGAGAATTATGTTATTTTATTTGTAAATCAATGAATTCTTGGACTTGGATGTCACATGATCGTCTTAGCATCTGATGCAGAAAAATAGCATTGGAGTGAGGTAACTTTCAAAAGGTCATTGAAAAAGGTAGTTTTTGCTAATGGGTCACAGAAATTATGGACGATGGTGGTGTCATACAGGTAGTTGCTTAATTCAGGTCGTTTGTATAAGAAATTACATTGAGACGAAAAATATACAGTCACATAATTCAAGTAATTGCTAAGACAGATTTAATTGTATGCCAGTTATGCTGCACAATGCTAGTTTAAAAAATAAATATTTAAGAGACATTTAAGCTATAACTGAACACTTCTGATTCTCCACAAACTGATTTAAATCATCCTCCATCACACTCAATAGGTATAATTCTGAACCTACCTCAATCAAAACATATTACTGCCATAAGTTAGAAATTTCCATCAATAACATAAATATAGGGAGCATTGTATTAATTAATACTGAGATAGTTACTCCGTCAGTCAGCGATTTATCGACGTTGTGAAAGACAATACTGAACAATTCCACTTAACAAACCTTGATTTACCTCATTCTGTTACTGGATTTCATCACCATTAACATCACTAATGAGTTTTATTCATTATTTAGCTCAGCTGTATCTCATATGAAGTTTATATTGAAAAAGAGTTTATCATTTGTTTCTGTGTACCATCCCAGGTATATGTCAACAAAATTGAATAAAATTATTTCAAAAAGAAATAGTCATCTCTTGAATTATATATAGTTTTCCTCAGCAGAATTTCCGATGTGTTGTTTATCATTCTTGTTTACATTTGCTGTATTTTCATTATTTGTCTTACAAAAAGCCCGGGTGTCAAACTTCAAGTTCTTATTTAATGTCATGTGATTGGGCTTACTGCAGAGAACAAGGAATCATCTTTGTTGATTAATTTTACAGCATTTGATGTGAATAGGCATATATAATCAGACATAGGCTTATTGTCAGATGTTAACTATTTGTAGACTAGGATGTGGTGTATTTTAAAACCTATTGTTGTTTTGAAATGGCGGAAAGACGAGTAATGTCTTCACTTGAGTTTTTATTTCAATGTTTTAGGATGCCAGTCTAGAAAAACTAGCTACGGAGAGTGAACTATTGGAGAAAGCTTACGGACACTACTTTGATTTGAAAATTGTGAACAATGACATCGAAGAAACTATAAGAACTTTAGAACAAGCAATAGATGAGGTGTCTTCAACTCCACAATGGGTACCAGTCAGTTGGGTGTACTGATGGACAGACAGCAGGTGGAGCTACAGTCTGGAGTAGCTTTGCAGACTAGAGCATGGACATTGCAGGTCAAAACTAATTTAAAAATGGCCTATAACACTTTCTGTGATTTGTTATATAAAAAAAAACACACAAGGAATCAACATAATAATTTGATCTAGATGGCGGTGCTCTTTTGAAATTGTGAGATTCTGTTTCCGTGGCAGTTCAGGATTGTGTACAGCTGCCTGTGAGGAGATGGGAGATTATTTCTGGTGGAGTTGTGATATCCAATACAGAATCAGAGCCCCTCATATTTGCCCTGAACCCAGATGTACACAAATGGACAGCATTATATTGCTGATGTACGTCATCAGTTACTCTGTAACTGAGAATGTAACGGTTTAATTTCATTAATTGTCAAGTGAAGAACCTGGTTTTTTTAACCAGGGACAGACAGTTAAGTCACTGGGATCACATTTTGTATTACATTGCTCTCAATATATATGTATTAAGATCCGATAGTACCTGAGCTAAGTTAATTTGCCATTGAAAAACGGAGTTCTGTAAGTTCATTTTAAAGGGTATTGAATTTGAAAAAACAGTAACACCTGATCAGTGTCAAATCTAAAAACAATATTAAAAACAAGACTTTTTTTGTTTTTTTTTTTTGTTTTTTTCTCTCAATCTCTTTGAACATTTCATTTTCATTGAAATATGAAGATCATAATATTGTATCCCTTTAACACTGATACATATGAAAGAAGTCGGTTTTACAGTGGTCATAAGCAATGTTTTCTTGTGCAGGTGTTGATCGAAAGTTGTTCAGGAAACAGATGATAAAGGTTTACAGAACATCTCCGTTGTTGAATGGTTCTAGGACGACCAAACAGCATGCATTTTTTTAATTCGGATTTTCTTTATCACTTCATCAAGAAGCCAGTTTTTTGATGTTACGTAGATATATATTATATAATCACTGTATATAAACATGTAGCGCCGTGTGCACTTATACTTCAGGTCACACACATGTATATGTATCATTATAGTGCTTTCATTTGGCAGGATCAAATATTTAGGTTAGGTACTCTTCAACCTAGTTTGCAGGATTCAAATTTTGCGCAAACTCCCTCATATAATTACAATTGAACTTCATTATCTGTGGGGCAATAAGTCGTTTCAATTTTCAAGTATTTTATTTTCTTTTAATCACAAGTCCAATAAATTAAAGAATTTTTTTGTATGATATAATCTTTTTACTATTTAGATGTTAAAATGTATCATTCTACTAAAAATTCTTTCGATAGATTTATACAAGATATCATTAACTAATATACACCTTAGAGACATGGAAACAGAATATATATATTTATTTGTCTGTATTATACTCATGGTTATACATTATGGAGGAATATACACTAACTTGGCTGAAAGGTTATGTCATAAACTAGGATGCTGTCTGCAGCAGGATCCAGCATTTCATGTCATGAATGGAATTGCTTTTTTTCACAGAGTTCAGTTCATTTGAAGCTCTATACCATAGCATTATTCAGGAATTTTAAGTCATTTAACAAGTGTTTATCAGAATTTGATCCATAGCAATTTCAATATATTCGCAGAAAAAAATTATTCCATTTCAAACACATTTCAGATGTATTTACAATCCCAACCCTCAACCCTCAAAAGCAATAGTGAAATGTGAAAATAGTCGCAGAAGAATTATTACTATCCTTTGGTTTATGTTACAGCTGTTGATTTTGTTGTTAAAAAAAGTAATACATCATGTTCAGTGGTAGAGCCCTTTTGGTTATCCAATCTGTGTCTAGCTTATATCTTTTCATTAAGTAGAAAGCAACAGTACCAGATATAAGAAATGAGTCCCCCAGTATCTCCTGTTACGTTTCAGCGAGAGAAAAAACTTCGGCAAGCGAAGGATAAGAACTGGAGCCGACTTTGCCTTGATGATGTATAGAAAGTGATGATTACAGGGATTTAATTTCATTTCATTCACAATCAAATTGAATTAAAATTTGATAATTTTGAAAAAATTAAATAACAGTAAAATGTACCCCATGATGAACCTGATAAAGAGGGTGGTATTTAAACAAGTCGAACTTGGGATCACAGACTATTAGTTTTGCCCGGAGTATTAGGATTCATTACTACATGAACTGCAATAGCATTTTCATCATTAAAGAATTCCTTTTTCACAGGTGATTTGTCTTCACTAATCAGTTGAGCAGTATAGATGTAAAATTAATGATGAGGTCTCACTCATTTGTTCCTGTATAGATTTTTGTCACTCTTTAAAACTTACACCCTTTTTGATAAATCAATAAATGATTTCACCCTTTGATTCAGCAGGATTATATCTGTACATTGAGTATAAAAGATGTTGAAAATTCTGTACATCATAACATTTATTAATATACAATGTAGTCACAAATTGGTTATTTGTGAGGTCTTCCAATGATAATGATGAAGCTTTAATTGGGTATTGGGATTTGGTGTTTCTTAAAAAATCAAAATTGATATTGTGTGATATAGAATTTACAGTTTGTTGAATTGAAAAGAAAAGGTTATTATGGAGAAAGGTTTTAATCAAAATTTCTGGTGAATAATCATCCTTGTCATAAAACGTGACTATATACATGCTGTTGGAGTACAGTTCCATGTACTTGAAATTTGTTGTCACCGCTGGTTACCAGAATGTATGCATGTATGTAACTGTAGACCTTAACAGATATTTAAATGGAAAATATAGAAAATAACGATTATACTGCTGATAAAATGAACTCTGTGTACATGTGTTTGTTTAATAGTAGGCAATACTGAGTTATGGGAGCTGCCCTGCTGACCTTGGAGACAGAAAAAAATAATTGTTATGCAAAGATATTTTTACATGCAAGACAAACTAAGAAGGCCATTATTAGATGGTGAGCTGTTCAAGAACCCTTAAATGTTTTCTGTTGATCTGTCAGCTTTTAACTTCTACAAAAACAACATACTGATATTTGGTCAGATGTATTCGGTTTCTTCATATGAATGACCTTGACCTATTTCTAAGGTCAAAGGGATAAGACATGTATAAACGTTTTGGAGAAATTTCTCAAGTTTCATAACACCCAGGATACTGATACCTGTGATGGAGTGCTCATACAAATGGCCTTGACCTTTTACAAAGATCACAGCGATAAGACATGTTTAAACGTTTTTGAGAAACGCCCAGGATACTGATACCTGTGATGGAATGTTCATACAAATGGCCTTGACCTTTTACAAAGATCACAGAGGTCAAACATGTTTAAATTTAAAAAAGAAGGAAATCTGATGTCATGTAGGTCAGAACTATCAACCATTTCAAAAACATTGATACTTGGAATGAGAATGATTTAACACAAATTATCATTATGTTTATGTTGACATTGTTGCTTTAATATCAATGTCACAGATTCAGGCCTTTAGGACCTTTTGTTATTTGTAATGTAACGTATTACGATATATTATGTTGGTGTTGATAAATATTTTGGCCACCATCACATCAGATAGTCAAATCGTCCACTGTCTGGTCGTTTGACTTTCTGCTTATCGTTCCTTATACAATCATTGATAAGTTACACTCTTGGTGACACACAGACAATTATAGGTCAGTGGCCCTAGGTCTCCAGTACAGGGAAATATTTTAAACAAAGTTACCACTTTAATCAGAAGTATGTCAACACATAGTTAATTGCATCAGAGCTTTTCCTAAACAAAACATCCAATTAATTAACAAATTCTGATGTATTCATTATGTCTGAAGCACTGAAATAATAAAATCCACTGTCAAACCTGAAAAATTCCTTCAAAAACTTAATTATTCTGATCAAAAATTTGCTCTACAACAATGTATTGCTTCAATAGCCGAACAGTAACAAAAGATCCCAGACGAATCTTCTTACTCACCATTCGTTCTTTAAAAGTTTAATCTTATCCTTTATTCTCTGTGCTTTCCCCTGCTCTTGTTCTGAATTTTATAATAAAATTCCAGTTAAGAAATAATGATAATAATCTTAAATTATCAAATACCCCCATCCCCTGTTGGCCATTCGGTTTTTCTGACCATTCTTAAATGATGAAAGGTTGCAAGGGAACCAACTTTAAAAATTTGAGAAAGATATATGATTTTTAAGAAATAGTGATAAACTTTCATTGTCAAAATTCAAGATGGCCACCTTGAGCCATAAGATTTTTTGTAATCGGTTCCAAAATCGAAATGGCACTCAGGACCAAGGGAGTACTTACATACAAAATTTGAAAAAGATCCATCTAGTACTTCTCAAGAAAAAGCGATGAAAATATTGATTGTCAAAATTGTACATGGTCGCCTGTCGGCTATATTGTTTTTCAAATCAGTTCCAAAATCGAAAGTGCACAATTACAGCTCAAGAAAAATGTAAGTCCGAAATTCAATAAAGATCCATCAAATGTTTCAATAATTAGAGATAGCAAGAATTGTTTACAGCGAACAGATGAAGGGCAGTTTGAATAGTTCACCATCTGACTATGGTGGACTTAAAATGGAGGCACGGAGATCAATTATGAACAATGAAAGGGAAAGTTCGAGTTCATATGCTTCATAAGTGTTATAAAACCTTGGGAAATTGTGTGAGAAATCTGAAAGATGTCTGCAAAGAGATTATCATTAATCAACTACTTCCATAAAATAACTCAAAACAAGCAAATATATATTTGCCATACTAGCATGCCCATGTGTTCGCAACCGGCGTTAAATTAAAAAAAAACATCAATACAGACAATTTGTGTCAAAATCTCGTTCTTCCAGGTCAGTAATGACTGTAAACCAGTATTTGTATTGATGTACAAGAAATGTAAAAAAAACTGAGTGTTACAACAAATCAACATCAGCTCTCACCAGGTGCTCAGAAAAAAGGAGACTCCCGGAAATTTCTACCTGAAGACAGGAAAACAATTCTATTCCAACAGATAGAACTAGGGATAACGCTGGACATACACTAAAACTGTATCTAACTTGTTGAGATGGCAGCTAGATAGTGACCATACAGAACGTGTACTCGTGGCACGTACATGTGTTCCCAAACGCACGGCACGTACTAGCATGATACTCGTGCGGTGTCATTGAAGACAAAAAAACCTCTATACTGACGAAACGAGGGAATATTTAATTCCACTTCATTATGTATGTAAAGTGATGGTAAAACATCAATTTAAAACCATCTATAGAAATCGCTGTACATTGAACCACTATGAAAAAATGAACAAAATCCCGTACACGACAAGGAACAAAGGAGAGCGCACATGTGAAATTTGAAAAGATTTATTCAAAATACAGGCTGTCGGCCATTTTAATTCTCTGCCCAGCCCCATAATGGCATATGCAGAACTAGGCAATTCGAAGCATCTATATATGAAACTTGAGCCAAAAATACATCAATAAATTTCAAAATAAACTATGACTAGTCATCATTCCGCAGTTAACAAGAATAATCAGCATTTCAAACACTAGATGAATTCGATTATAATTTGCTGGTGATTGGAATATCGATAAAAGCGGACTTACCTTTTCACTTATTTCAAGGTTTTATCATCGCAACGTAGTAAAATATAGAAGCGATTAGGAATGGGCACAAGCGGAGCACTGTTTTAGGGAGCTTTGTTCATGTGACAACCCGTGCTCGACAGGAAAATCACACTTGGCTTCTTCTTGAAGACGTGTTTAACACGCTCTTGTACTCTGTATATATACAACAGGACAAATCTTAATCGCGGTGTTTCAAATATATTCATTTCAAATGCACTCATTTCAGAATACCAATGAAATCAAGACAGTTAACTAATGTCGGGCATTGAATTTTGTAAATTGTGGTGATGAATTTCGATCTTCACCTCCGTTTAACTGATTTTATTTCATTGTTTTTACATGCTATCGTTAGGTATCACGGGATATGTAACGTATATAGAACGTATGTGAAAGAGATCCGCAACACCAGAGAATAATAGCTTCAAATTCTCACCATATTTCAGCATTTTCGCGAAAATATTGCTACGTAGTTGGTTATTTTAAACATGAATACCTCCTAACAGTTTGATTTAATTCGTTGAATTGAATTTTAAGTGAAACAGCACCATGTATGCAAATGACTCTAAAACCACACAAACGACGTCATGACACCAATATAAGAAATACACCAAAGGGAGGATGGTGGGCGTGTCTTTGCTTTTAAAAAGGGGGGATTTTAAACGTCACTATGTCCAAATTTGACAACATATTTAAATGAGTTATTTAAATATGCAAATTGGATTTCCCCGATATTTTCGATTTACGCTTGATCACGATCTACTTATTATGTAAGTAATCAACACGGACTAGATGAATTCGGTTTTAATTTGCTGGTGATTGGAGTATCTAGAAAAGCGGACTTACCTATTACCTTTTCACTTATTTTAAGGTTTTATCATCGCAACGTAGTAAAATGTTACAATGAACTTGTTTTTTGTCATTGAATGATATATGACTAACTAGTAATCATTGTTTGATTCCAAGATGAGCTTTTGTTTTATACATTAATCATAGACAATTTGAAACACATACTGCTGGCGTCATCTTATAGTGTAAAACAGGTTATCTGTCGTACGACATTTAACGTACACTTACAGGAAAAAAACTAGCGAGTAGATACTTTATTTCCTCAAAAAAGATCAGACTTGTGTATTGTATATTATTTGGGTGATTTTGAGTGTAAGTGTAGGGTTGCAGTGCTTGTTGATAAGGAGATATTTGAATTTTTGGCATTTTAACATAAACAGTCATTAATGTACTGATCACATCATTGTCATCTTTGTTTTTCTTGACACATGTTTTGCATTTCACACAAACACAAATATAAAATATGTTCAATAGATGGAGTAAACTACATACTTAATAAGATTCCTAAATTTTCACTCTTTCATGTGTAACGTAACGATAGCACAGTGGTAAGCTCTCCGCTCTCGACTCCAAAGGTGCTTGGTTCGAAACCTCAGTTGACTTTTTTTTTCTTTTATTTTTCCAACTGAAAAGGGCAATTACATGATATCGAAACTTTCACGACATGGTTTCTATTTTGTTTCGTTAGAGGTCATTAAAAATAATGTAACAATTAAATCGTTGATTGTTTGAGAGTTTAAATTTCATCTTTACATAAATCTTTTAATTCTCAAATGGTTTCCAATCACTAGAACTTCAGGTTATCTCTTAAGCGTGCGAAATTCTTTTTCTCATCAACAACAAAAAAGGTATGATATAGATATTTCTATAAGGAATTCTCATTTTTTCAATACATTTAAATCAATTATCAGTAAGACAGAAATAATACATGACAAATGCTTTTAGGTTTGGGATTTACGTAATTTAAATATACTTCATTTCCGTTTGTGAAATACTGCCAGATCTGTTGATTACGCATTTTCAGAGCAAAAGGTAATACAGATGAATGTAGATGCAGCAACCAATGTGAAGACTTTAATTACTATTTTGATGTTTGTCCCCTTTACATTCATAATCGAAATCTATTAATGAGACAGTTACAACCTCTCTTTGAGAATTTAATCAGATTTACTCATATATGGTGTTAAGAAATTAAGCAAAGATGATGATATCTCTTAATTGCAAAAAATGTAAAATAGGGATTTCATTGAATGTGACTCTCTCTCTCCCTCTCTCTCTTCACGTAAGATCTCATTTGATATAAACTGCATTATTACATTTTGTTCGAAAATGGATACATACCGATTA